TTTTTTTTTTGTTTGTTTTTTTGGTTTTTTGCTGGAGCAATCGTCAAATCAACATTCCGCTGCGCCGCCCTGGCAAAATGCAGCTAATTTTACCGTTGAAGTGCATTTATTAAGTAAAAGTTCAACTGAGACACACTTTTGCTATAATGTCGAGCAAACAAACAATTGTTTTACGTGCTTATGTTGTTTTCAGGTCTCTCTTGTAAATGAGTCCTCGAGGCTCAATGGGATTTACCTGTAGAAATAAAGGTTGAATGAATGTTCAATTTCAAAGAAATGCGCAGCGTTCCTTCTTCCTTATTTCCTCCCTCAGAGCGCGCTCCCGGAGCACCAAGGCGACAATTACTTTTGAAAATTGAGCTGAGTTGACCGTTAAAGTCCTTTTATTAAGTAAATGTTAGACTGATCATATCTTTATTATAATTTTGAGCAAACACATAATTGTTTTTAGGTGGTTATCTTGGTAAATTTTGAAAAAATGCACGGCGAGTCATCCCTCTGCGCGTTCCTGCTTCCATGTATTGGCTTTTGAAAATGCAGCTGATTTGACCATCAAAGTGCATTCATTAAGGAAGAGTTAGACACAATTAGGCATTGCTCAAGGGCCCAGAGTGGGACAAATGAGGGTGGAGGCAGGTGTGGGTGTTTCCCCTTTCCCACTCACGTTTTGATGTTTTGTGTCCGGGGAGTTGAACGGGCGATCTTCCAATCACTGGCCCACCTTCTCTCAGCTCTGGGCCACCACTCCCCCATCAGAGCATTTGGCATTAATTGTAGAGCAGAATGTATCTTGTAATGTTATTGTTTTATTTTAATGTTAAAATTAATAAGAGGTCAAGGATGTACAAGAACAGATGTGTGTCAGAACATCTGTGCATCAGGTCGTCTCACCTTCTTTATTTTACAGGAAGTACACAGCGTGTTTTTGCTGTCTGAGACATCTAAAGTAACTCTGACAGTTTGATCAAATTTAAGAACACTATCACCTGTAATAAAAAACTAGATTCTGTTAGCGGGGCACTGCTGGGCTGCTTGTTTTGCTATAAATTGTGTTACCCTCTCCCAGCATCAGTTTACAAAGACCAGCTGAGCAAATGGTTTCCACTGGATGTGTTTTAGTGTTGAATGCACCTTAAAAGCCAATACGACGCCTGTTATTTAATTTCACTTCTACTCACAGCAAATATTTGTTTGCGAGGGGGTTTTGTCTGCAGAACTTCCACATTGTTCACAGTTTAATAATCCTCATCACCCTGGGGTCGTTACTGCTCTGGTGAGCTCAGGATCAGACAATCTTCTGCCAAGGTGTGTGATTACAGACCTTTAGATAAGTGTCCTCAGACATCTGCAGCCATAATGCAACATATCTGATCCAGGTGTGTGCCAACGAATAAATCCACATGTCAAGCAAAAGAATCCAAACAAAGTTTGCTTTAAGTCATAGTAAAATACAAATAGCCTTTTCTTCATGAGAAGATAGAGGTAAAAGTCAAACCTTGAAAATGTCATTATGCACAATCTCATATTTGTTAGCTATTGGACTTTGTGTTGAAGATGACTCTCTGTGACGAGTGCAGCAAACCTATGCTCAATATATGTAAAACTGACAAAAGTTACAGCTGTCTATGTATTTGCTAAGGTCAATCAGCTACAGCAGCCATCTTGAATTATATTCACTCCAAAAGGTAATCAGTTGGAGTTGCACATCCAGTGATTGCTTTCTGAGTGTGTCATCAAAATACAACCGCTAGTTCATTAGATAATTAGCTAACAGACCAAAAAAAAAGTATGTTTCTTTCGGCTGCTCTCTTCTTCAGGGGTTACCACAGCGAGCGAACTGCACATGAAAGGTTTGACAATTGTTTTTATACCAGATGTCTTTCCCGATGCAAACTGAGCTCGAACCCTCAACCTCAGGATTACAAGACCCTGGCACTGACCACCAAGCCACCACGCTTGCTAACAGACATGTAAAGCCAAAGTTTTATGCAAATATGTCAAACCATGTGTCGTGCTCAGAGTATATGTTGTGAATGACTCTCGGCTACTACCACAGCAAGCATGAATTCATTTGGCTGTGGCAATTATGTTGAATTGGAGTGACACGGAAAGTTGATCAGACGCAATTGGATGTCCAGCCGTTACTTTCAGGAGGTTTCATTAAAGCTTGTCCAGTGGTTCATGTTGCTAACAGACAGTCCAGTGGTTCATGTTGCTAACAGACAGTCCAGTGGTTCATGTTGCTAACAGACAG